GTGATCACTGGTGAATGTTGAGCCAGAGTAGCTGGTGAGTAGGGTAAGAGGCTTTGGGAGCCAGGTATCAGAGCAGCCGTAAGCCTGGGCTGGATGCTGGACGCACCAGAGGTCTGTGCGTTGGCTACTGGAGAGACCAGGAGGTCCTGATCAGCTACTGGGGAGATCGTGGAGTCTGGAAGTCAACTGAGAGACCTGTTTTCATGTGTTTGTGCAAGAGCCAACTGGAGATGAGAGGGTCCAGGGGCCAGCTATCGTGTAGACTGAGTGTCTTGGGCCAGTGGCTAGAGGGCTCCACGTCATACATATATCTGTATAAATATATATATGTACTCCACCAATGGGCTTTCATCCTGATCAGCTAGAGAGCAGAATAGGATGAGACCCTTGGCGCTGTTTGTGTTTGTGTGTGTTGAGCATTTCTGTGTTGCTGGCCATGTATGTATGTTGATACATGTTGAATATGCCTCTGGCCATGTATGTATGTAGCTACATGTTGAAAATGCCTGTCTGTGCTCATGTGCCTACCGGGAATACATGCTTAGCCCCACGGCCAGCTGGACCTGGGAGCTGCGCCAGCCTTGCCTCTATTGTGCCACTGGCTTTGGCAGCCTGTGACAACACCCTCTTCCCTTGGGTTAGCAGGTGGGTTGGAGCCAAGGATAGCCTCTGCAAAGACTACCCTACTGCCTGAGCAAGAGGATTCAAAGGGAGAAGATTGCTCTTTTTAATGCCTTCAAGCTTGCAAACTCCCTCTCAACCAAAGCTGGATGATGACAGGCAGCTAAATCCCCTGCTCCAGCACCTAGGCACATCCACCTTACAACATGGCTTGGTTCAAACACACCTGAGCTGGCAAAGTTGCTCCCAATGGCATTGAACTGTTCAGAAAGCAGTCACTGGTGTGATTCATGGATCGGATGTTTCTCCACCAGTCTGTCTCCTCAACAGGCACAGCCCAAGGGATATGCTGAGACAAGTCCCCCCCAAAAGATGTCTCACCCTGACACAGGAGGTAGCTGGCATAAAGTATGTGTTCTGGAACCGAGCAGATTGAGGTGTGAACACGTCAACAGTATTGAGGTGGTTTCAATGATGGGCATGTCCACTAGCAGATTCGAAGCTGAACAAAGAGGCTTTTGGGGCCTTAGGGACACCTAAAATTTAGTTTTGGCAAATAAAGTTGCACTCCTTCTGCCTTTTCATCCACTTCTCTGAGCTGCTGTGAAGGAATACCATGATCCAGCCCCTTATTTCCATCAAAACATAGTAACACATTACAGGCTCTTGTATCAGTCATTCTCTGAGTGATTGCAGAGATACACTCTAAGCTGATGAATTATTTAAAACAGATGCAGTACATTTCAGAAAAAGAATTTGATTAAGTGGCAAGATATTATGAAGAAAACTGAGACAAAACCTTAGGAGAATCTATTTTCATAAAATATAGCATGCTTCCTGTCTGATGAGAATTTTGAGTAAACAGACTAATTAGTAGGTAGACTGGTAGCTTGTCCACTAGGGAGACATACTGACATGGGAAACCAATACAACATGGAGATGGTCTTGCCAAGCAAGGCATATTACACTCTCTCCACTCCATCCCCAAAACAGGCAGTGAAAAGGAAATAACAGATGGGGCTTTTTTTATTTTCTAACTTCTCTCCGAAGCCCTGCACTGCGCTAAAGCGCTCCTGCTAAATCACTTTGTAGATGTTAGAGTAGAGGTCCTGCCTGAATCTCTGTACGAAACACATTCTAGATGGTCACGGCTTTCATGGCTTATCACAGTGCATAGAGCTTTACAGGGAGATGTATTGGGTTTGTGTGGCAAGGTCTTGGTAGTGGGGGGGCTACAGGGGTGGCTTCTGTGAGAAGCTGCCAGAAGTTTTCCCTGCGTCCACCACTGGCCAAGGCCAAGCCAATCAGCGACGGTGGAAGCGCCTCTGTGATAACATATTTAAGAAGGAAAAAA